TCCATAAATATGTTGCTTTGGCGTAAAAGTCACAGGGCATGCAAATTATGCACAAAACCACGACTTATAGGGCAAAAAATACGGTATGTTGCTGACAAAGGAATTAAGAAGCACTTGTACATGTGTAAGAGAAATGCATTACTTGATAGATTTTCAGCCTTTTTCATGTCTCAATATAAAAAGAAATAGCTTGCTGTTTCCACAGCACCATATAGCATTTTATTCTACCACCATTCGCCCTCTGACAACACACAACCGCCCACGTGCACACACTCCAACACCTGTAACACCCCCAGGTAACACTGGGACAGTGGTATATTCCTTCATCTGTTGTCATAGTAACATCAGTGAGGATTTCTCACAAAACCTCATCACATTAATTCTCAAACAAGAAAAAAAAACAACAAAATACATCCTGTTTCCTGTTACCGACCTGTCATATCAGCACTCGGTTCGCTCTGTGCTCAGTTGTGCATAAATTACATCTTTTTCTATCTGCCAGCATCCCCGCTCCCCCCTCTGACGCTCAACAAAAATAAAACACTCTGAGGAGCGTGTGTTTGTGTGGATGACAGTAGAGGAGAGTGTGTGTGGGCTTACAGAGAGTCTGTGTCAAGTTCGGTGTCAGCTGTGTGTGTGTGTGTGTGTGTGTGTGTGTGCGGTCTGTAGAAGCGGGCTTGGGACTAACTGTATCTACCCTCCTGTTTTATGTCTGTCGTACATGTGTATCTGTGTTACTGTAAGAGTTTTACTCGAGCTCAAACATCTCTTGGATGATGATTCACCGTCCAAATGAGGTGTGTGTATCTGTGTGTGTTTGCTCACACACTTAATGGACCACAAAGCGGTAGGTGAGTTGGCAAACACAGAGAGAGAGGTTGGAAACGAGCAGAGTTTTTGGAGCGGTGAGCATGCACCTGAAGCCAGATGAACATCTTTAAAGTTTACACAGTGGAAAACGTTATTAAAACATGGGAATAGGTTGTTTATTTTATTTTTTTTTATTTTATTTTTTTTAGGACAGAGGCATTTCCTCCCCAATCAGTCTTTTATTAAACTGAACCCTGAAGCATCTCTGAATTGGCTTTTATACAGTTTGTACAGGATTAATTTACTGATTTTGGATGAATGCAACACATTCAGGTGATTCTATCGTTTCTTGAAGTCACATCCCAGATCCCTGCCCCACTGTGCTGTCATCCACTCCCCCCCCCCCCCCCCCCCCCCATTGATAGAGGCACAAAAAGGACTTAAAAAAAAAAGGAGAGTCTAAAAGTCAGGAGAAGTGTAGCAGCTTGGTGACCTTAGAAACAAACCCTCAGGAGGATTACGTGATGGCAATTACAGACATGGAGAAAGGACCGCCTTATCGCAGGAACTTATCTTCAGGATTGTGTCAATGAGCTTTTTGTTTATTTGTTTACTCGGTGTGCTAGTGGGAACATGTGTCAATTCCGAGCAAACTCCTATGGGAACAGACTAAAACGTTACACTGTTACATAGATGTCTCTGCAAACACAAGCAGAGTCAGCAGCAGCTAGCTATAGCATGTATAATGCCCCAAATTAAAAACAATTTCTGCCAGAAATGCTGCGTAATGCAAAACTGACAGAGATGTAAATGTTTATAACTCCTGCAAACTGCTATGAATAGTTTTAGATTTAAAAGGCATCAGTCCACCAGTGCTCAGAGAAGTGTAGTTGTGAGCTCATCGGTGCAGTCAGAACTGATTTCTTTGTTCAGACAGAGGTTGTCTGAAGAGCTGTCTGCAACAGGTAAGATATTAATTGGTCATATCATTCAACAGAGCCCCAATTTAAATATCTGAACCATCCTATGAGTTTTGAAACAAAAACAACTGGACTTCATAAAAAAAAAAGAAAAATGTAACTTAGTATTTTTCAGTTGGAACTGAGGAAGCTCCTTGAATGAGAAGAAAATTATCTTCAGCCAACAAGAAAAGAAGTCCAGTTGTTTATGTGTGAATGTTTATGAAGCATTCACACTGATCAGTTTTGCTTTCGTACGTTTTTCTGCATCTTTTTCGTTCCACAGTTTTTGTGCCATTTCAACAAATCATAAATCAAAACGTTCAGCTCTTTCAGGACAATCCTGCTTTGACTTTTGGTTTTGGTGCAACTTTAGCTTTTTGAAATATTTAACCTTTTCTAACATTGTTTTCGTCATAGAATATGAACTGAGCTCATTTTACATCCTTCATATCTTTAGATCCGTTTACAACCTTTTACTGCTCCTTTCACGTTTTGTTCCTGTTCAGCTTCTTTCAGCTTCCTTGTACAAATTTAAACCTTTTTTCAGCTACTTTCAGTTTTTTTTTTTTTCATCTTTTTTGCCCTCCTTTCAGATTATTTTTGTTAACTAAAACATTTTTGTGTTTCTTCTAACTTCTTTTTGTTAATTTCAGCTGACTACACTCCTTTCAGCGTATTTATGCAAGTTTCAGCCTTTTCTGTTATTTCAGCTACCATTGAACTGTTTTTATGCTAATTTTAGCTTTTTTGGTTAATTCCACATTTTTTCCATTCATTTAAACTTTTTTCAGCCTAGTTCAGCAAAATGTGTTCTCTCCAAGCTCCTTTCTGATATTTTTAGCTACTTTTCAGCTGTTTATTTTCTTCTCCAATTTCTGCTTTTTTCAGATTATTTCCCCTTTCTTGTGTTCATTTCTGCTTCTTTCAGCCTTGCTGGGCAAATGTGTTCTTTCTGCTTTCTTATGCTAAATTAAGCTTCTTCTATCTTTTCAGCTATGCTTTTAGAATTTTTAAGCTAATTTCAGATGTTTTAAGATACATTTGAGCTTTTGTGGTAATTTCTGCTGCTTTCAACCTAATTAACTTTTCTCTGCAAGTTTAAGCTTGTTATGCTTCTTTCAAGTTATTTCTACTATTTCAGCTACTATTTAGCATTTTTATAATGCTAGTTTAATCTTTTTAAGCTAATTCCACATTTTTGCGACTCATTTCAGCTCTTTTTGCTTCCTTCTGGTAGTTTATGCTTCTTTAACTCCTTTCAGTTACTTTTCAGCTACTTTTTGCTAATTTCATCCATTTTCCCAATTTTTATCCTAATTTATACTTATTCAAATCTACTTCAGTAAATATGTGTCCTTTCTGCTTTCTCCTACTAACTTTGAACATTCGCACTGCATTTTCACAGGAAATGCGATTTGTGTAGTTTTAAAACCTTTACTACTCCTGCAGAGTCCTGGATGGTTGAAGATCTCCCAGTGGTCCTCAGTCCTGGTTTTCGAGGGCCACTGTGCTGCATGTTTTAGTTATTTCCTGCTCTTCAGCAGGTCTTCCAAGCTCTGCAGAATCCTGTTAATCGCTCATTCATTCACATCAGGTGAGTTGAAGCAGAGAAACATCTAAAACGTGCAGGAGAGTGGCCCTCGAGGGCCAAGATTGAGGGCCACTGAGCTACACTAATGACACAAAATATCCCTTTAAGTACTAAAGTATTTGTTGGCCCTTTTTTCACTGTTGCTAAGCTTGTTAGCTGTGAAAAGTGACAACTAGATTACTGTAAAAATAACCAAAGTAACTAATGAAAAGTCAGGAAAAATACAGATATTTAACTAGAAGCAGGGGCAGCACGGTGGCGCAACTGGTAGAGCTGCTGCCTCTCAGCGAGCAGGTCCTTGGTTCAAACCCCGGCCCAGGGGCCTTTCTGGGGGGAGTTTGCATGTTCTCTCCGTGCATGCGTGGGTTTTCTCCGGGTACTCCGGTTTCCTCCCACAGACCAAAAACATGCATGTTAGGCTGATTGGTAACTCTAAATTGTCCCTAGGTGTGAATGAGAGTGAATGGTTGTTTGTCTCTATGTGTCCCTGTGATGGACTTGCGACCTGTCCAGGGTGTACCCCGCCCCTCGCACAGTGATTGCTGGACATGGGCACCAGCGACCCCGTGACCCAAAATGGAATAAGCGGGTAAAGATAATGGATGGATGGATGGAACTAGAAGCAGCTTTTGTGCTCATTTGGGCTTAACTTTTTACTTTTAGCGACATTTGGGTTGGGTTTTAGATTTGGCTTCCATAATACTTTCACATTTTTTACATTTGTTTCTTTCCCACATGTTATATGTAATAAAACATGGTAACGTCATAGAAAAGTTATGATAGGGACACTTCACTACATGTGCTGAATCCCAGTTTTAATGGAGAAGCGAAACAATTTTTTTCTTGTTGCCACTTTTTAAAAGTTTTATTTTAGCTTTTAAAAAAAATCTCTACAAATTATATTCTGTTTGTGAACCACCAGCCACCTAAGAACAATGTTCCTGGATAACATGCCATATTTGTGTTTTTTAAATTTTAAATAAAGAAAATACATAGATTTCCCACGTGCGATTTATTTGAACTGGCTTGACTAAAATCTATTTTTCCTGCATTCTATAAACAGCAGAAGCCAGAAGAAAGGATCTGAACATGACAGTTGAACAAAAGGGACAGCAAATATGACAAACACTGAAAAGCAAACAGGGAAACTAAGAATGACAGAAGTTGGAGAAGGGGAGATTACCGGTGAAGTAAATAGCAAAGAAGTGAGCAGCTTAAACACTAATACTAGCAGATGGGTGATAGATAAAAATAAACACGTGGTTTCAGGACAGGATAGAAGAACAGACAAGACTAAGAAGCAGAAAGTGATGAAAGAAGAATATTAAAGACTGATGGAGATGGTGAGAAACGGAGTGGGAGGACATGGCGCTCTGAAAGGTAGGACCTTCATTATGCAATAGGAACAGAAAAGGGAATAACACGCACAAACCACTAACGTGCTCCTGTTTGCACGCCTACTCGACCAAAACACACAGGGACACAGATGCGGCTAATTCAGAGAAGACTGCCCAAATTACACGAGGCAGGATGTGTCTCGAAAACGACAGCCGGCTCTCTAATCTGCTGACCTTTGCACGGGGCGAGGACGGAGCCTCGGGGAGAGTGCGAGGGACGCAGAAACAAAATGTACTGACCATGATGCCTGTGAGCAGGCACACGCCTTTGCCACAGTAGGTGTGAGGAACCATGTCTCCGTAGCCGATGGAGAGGAAAGTGATAGAGATGAGCCACATGGCACCCAGGAAGTTACTGGTCACATCTTGAGCATCATGGTACCTACAAAGAACCCCACCAACCCAGTACAGAGAAAATAAAGTCAGCCAGTAGTAAAAGCATGAAAATAATAATAACTAGAGAAACTACATTTCCTGTGAAAATGCAGTGTGAATGTTTATTGCAGAAAAACTTGCTGAAAAACAGCTGGAACAGCTTAAACATGCTGAAATGTAGCAAAATGTTAGAACAAGCCTAAGTTAGCAGAAGAAAGCAGAAAGAACATACATTTGCTGAACTTGGTTAGATAAACAGAAATGAACACAAAAATCTGTAAATTAGCTAAAAAAAAAAAGCTGAAATTAGCAAAAATAGCTGAAATGGCAGAAATAAATTACCAGCAGGAAGTGAAAGGAGCTGAAATAAGCTTAAAAAATGTGGAATTAGATTAAGCTAAAGTTAGCACAAAAACTGTTAAATACAGTAGTAGCTGAAATAGCAGAAAAAGCTGAAACAAGCAGAAATAAGCTGAAAGGAGCATAAGCAGCTGAAATGAGCAGAAATAAGTTAATTAGGCTGAAAGTAGCAGAAATTACCACGAAAAACATGAATTTATCTGAAAACAGATTAAATTAGCTATAAAATGTTAAAAACTATCTGAAAAGGTAAAAAAAGCTTAAATTAGAAGAAGAATGAAAATATCTCTGTCCCATTAAGGCTGAAAGAAGCAAAAATGGCCACAAGAAAATGGAAATTATCTGGAAAAAGCTGAAATTAGCGGAAGAAGCAACTGAAAAGTAGCTAAAAAAGCATAAAGAAGCTTAAATTAACAGAAGGAATGGAGAGAGCACTTTTTTTTCTGAATCAGGCTGAAAAAGGTTGAAATTACTGCAAAAAATGGAATTAGCTGAAAAAACTAAAATTAACATAAAGACAGCTAAATAGTAGTTGAAATAGCAGAAACAGCTGAAACTTGCAAAAACAAGCTGCAACGAGTATAACAAGGTGAAATTAGCTGAAAGTAGCTAAAAAAGTTTACATTTGCACAAGGAAGCAGAAAGAAGCCAAAGCAGAACAAAATAAAGGAGCAGTGAAAGGTTGTAAACAGATCTAAAGATTTGAAGGAGGTAAAATGAGCCGAATTCATTTCCTATGAGAGTAAAAAATGTCAAAATGGATCACAATAGTGTGAATGCTTCATAAGCGTTCAGACAAGAATAATAGAAAACACGACAGGCCGAGTAGTTCTGTCTGCAGACGTGGGAGTCCAAACAAACTGAAACACTAAACACGTGTTTTACATTTCTGCCTGATCCGAACACGACTGTAGCTCTTCCCTGCATCACTCCTGCCCTACGCGCAACACTGTTACCATAGAAACCAAACTCAGTACAGACGAGAAACAAAGTCTTTTAAAACATAAAAAATAAAAAAAGCTATTCACTAAAAAAAAAAATCAAAATGTAGCCTTGAGAGTTTACAGTAAATACAGTGGTGCTGGGTCTTTACTCTCCTCATAAAGACACTGAGCTCCAAAAGTTTTACACTCACACTTCATTTCAAAGTTATTTTTAATAGCTTATTACTGTATTTATTTTTAATCATGTTTGGTTTGTAGAGGAATTGCCAGCAAAAGCTGCTTGGAGCCACTCCTTTAGGCAGTAATGATGTTTAATCAATCTTATTAATCAGCTGACATTTTCCTTTATCCTTCCAGATTATCTGCAGGAAGCAGCGAAACACACCAGGAGTGAGTCACATCGTGCTTTCCACATGACAAAACATCAATAACAACTTGTAAAATTATATCATCAGCCTTAAATATAACAGAACAATGAGGTTACTGGTTTACAGGGAGACATAATGCATGTCTGCTGGATTAGTTGACAGTTATCAGCAGCTGGCACATCTGCACGTTTTGTCTTAACTTACTGTTAAAAATCAAATATGGATATTTTTTAACATTAGATCTTTTGCCTGAAAAGAAACTCTTAAAATGTGTTTACATCAATATTCTTATAGCTACACACCACTATGATGTAACATTGCTATGAAGAGGGATAAGTCATGTTTATTTCTGTATTTTTTATTTTAATTTAATTTTAATTTTGTAGATTTTAGGTACACATGTGCACTAATCATGATGTGCCCCACCTGTGAGGTGGATGGATTATCTCCACAAAAAAAAAAAAAGTGCTCACTAACAGATTTGCACACGTTTGTGAAAAATATTCAAGAGAGAAAAGTCTATTGTGTACAAAGAAAAAAGTTTCAGGTCTTTGAGTTCCGTTCATGAAAAATGGGAACAATAACGAAAGTGTTGCGCTTAAATTTTTCGTTCGGTGTAATGATTAGCACTTTTTTGTATGAAGTAAAAAAAATGCATCAAAACTTCTGACTGAATCAAATTAAATGTTTGACTAATAAAAAAAGTTTCAACAATTAAAGTTTAAAGATGGAGTATACCATTTTGGTTAACGTAATTGCTCCATTATATTCCTAATGAAACTGCTGTGGCCTAACGAACAGGAAACACACACTCGGGTGTGTGTAACGTGTGCACTGACCTCTCACACACTCGTACGGTCCACGCAGCGATGATCCACAGAGAGATGCTGAAGACCAGCAGCACCGTCCCGGGACAGATGGTCATGAGGGTTTTCATTACAAACCGTGTGTTAAAATGAACCTGAAAGCACACACACAAAATGATAAATATCACTTTATTTATAGAGCACTTAAAACAGCAACAAGGCCATCCAAAGTGCTGTACAGCAGAAACAAAACAAGAAAAGGATTCAGGATAAAATACATAGATCCAAATGGAAAAAGACAAGAACTAAATGGCTAACACTGTAGAATACAGACACGTTAAAAACAAATCACACAGTGTCAAAAGCCTGGGAATAAAAGTGGGTTTTAAAGTGAGACTTAAAAACAGTGAGAGGGAGGGGTCTGTCTGACATGCAGTGGTAACTCATTCCACAGTCTTGGACCTGCAACAGAGAAGACCCTGTCACCTCTGAGCTTAAAACGAGTTCCTGGAACCAATAGAAGCTTATGGTCCGCTGACTTGAGAGAGCGCTGTGGGACATATGGCTGCAGCAGATCAGTGAGATAAGAGGGGGCAGAACTGTGCAGAGATTTAAAAACCATCAAAATTTGAACTGAATTCAAAAGTGAACCGGGAGCCAGTGAAGGGATGCCAGAACTGGTGTAATGTGCTCTCTTTTGCCTGTAAGGGTTAAAAATCAGGCTGCAGCATTTTGGACCAGTTGCAGTTGTGCGATGGAGGTCTGACTGATTCCAAACAGAAGCGCATTGCAGTAATGGAGCCTGGATGTTATGAAAGCATGTATTAGTCTCAAGGTTATTTTTGGACAGTATGACCTTCAACTTATACAGTTTAAATTCATTCAACCTTTATTTATACAGGTTAATCCCATTGAGCCTCGATGACTCATTTCCAAGAGAGACCTGGATGACACTGTACTGCTCACAGCATCACTGCAAACCTCCAGATCTTCAGCAGGAACTCTGTTTTCCACTCAGACCAGAAGGTTTATTAATTAGTCCTTTGATAGCAGCAGCACTCAGAGATTCTTGTCGTATGTGGAGACCAGATCAGGTCTCGACCTCTGACTTGGGTCGAGCTACACAGTGTCTCTGAGTAATTGGACTGTTTCAGAGTAGTTGTGGTAAGTGACTCATTTGTCAATAAGAGGCAGGCCGTCAGGTTCTGGCAGATGGATCATTTGATGGTTGGGCCGTGGAAGGGTAAACCAGCTGATAAATGAGTTGTCATTTTGGAGCAGCACTTGGATGGCAGCTTCACCTCCTCTCGCTGTCACTGTGAGCCAGCGGACCCGAGGAGTGGCACATAAATACACCAGCAAACTGTTAAATCACTCATCTACAGCCCATCTCCACTGCTGTTCGCCTCTCTTCTACTGAGTTAGCACTTTTTCCAAGGCGTCCTGATCTTACGACGACGCTTATTGCTGAACACCATTAAAAACACGTCAGCAATAATCATTTACGGGATTACTTGCATGCACCCCCCCCCCATTCCCCAACTCGTATTCCAATTTCACTCTCGTCTTTTCATGGCCCATTTGAGCTGTTTGCAATTTCTCCTTCCCATTTCATGCACCCATCTCCTGTTGTATCATGAACGATCCACCATCGCTTACATCTAAATCTCTCAGAGCAAGAGAACAAAACAGGAGAGCCAGAGACGTGATGATGAAAAGAAACAAGTTCACAAGAAATAGAACTTTTCAAATTTGACCCTTTTCCATAAATAGAATCACAGCTAGGCCTGTCACAATAACAAATTTTGCTAGGTGATTAATTGTCTCAGAAATTATTACGATAAACGATAATATTCTTTGAAATTTAACAATAATAAATTGTCAAATTTTAGAATATTGATTTGTTTGGTGTGTAGTACCATTTTTGACCACCTGATGGCAGTATAAGACTGTTTGAACCAAAGAATGGATATTTGAGCAGCGTCTTTTTAAGAAAAATGGGAGGGAGGGCCCTTGACGTGACATGGGCTGACATGGCGACATGGCTCACGCTTGGTGATTTGAGCTCTTTAGCATAGCATTTTTCACACAAAGCTTTTAATAAATAAATCAGTAAACAAGTTCTCAGCTTCTTTTTGCAGAGAAAAACTACTTTTTACACAAAGGCACAGGTTTCAGCATGAATTTTGGAGCTCAACAAGACGGAGGTTTTTTTCCTGAGGTCGACCTGTTAGCTTAGCTCGTAGCTTAGCTTCTCAGCTTAGCTGATTTTAACCATCCAAAAATGTGATTTTGTATCGTTAAAATTGATTTTAAAGAGAAAAGAGAAAGGGAGGGATCAGTGAAGACCACCCAAGTTGAGCCATGTCTTCAGTGGAAAGCAAGAGACATGAAGAAACGAGGAAGCCGGTAAATGAAAAATTAGGTTGATAATTTTCATTCATCATGCGATTAATTGATTTATCATTTATCATGACAGGCCTAATCACACCTACTAATCTTTTGATAAAAGAACTCATGACTGTTGAGGACACGATTCCCGGATGTCCTCCAGCAAGATTCTATGGTAGAGAGCAAAATGTATGGTTTCATCAGTTCCCACAAGTCTAGCATCAAATAAGCCGCCGACCATCACACTGCCGCCACCGTGTCTGACTGTGCGAATGATGTTTTTCTAAAATGCAGCAATACTTCTATGTCCGATGGGACTGGACGCACATCTTCCAGAATGTTCCACTGTTGCCTCGTGAGTCCACAGAATGTTTTCTCATAAGTCTTGACGATCATTAGTTTTGGAAAATGTGAGACGAATCTTTGTGTTTTTGGATCAGCAGTGGTTCTTCCTTGGAACTCTCCCATAGAGGCCACTTTTGTATCTTTCTTTTTCATTCACCTACCCATGAACTCTGACCTTAATGGGAGTCTGCAGGGCTTTAGATGTTGTTTTGGGTTCTTTTGGAACTTTAGAAATGAATCGTCGATGCACTCAGAGTAACTTTTGTCGGCCGGCCACTCATGGGAAGGTACACGACTGTTCCAAGTTTTCTCCATTTGTGTACAACGGTTGTATTTAAGTGACTTCTTGATTCTGCAGTTCTGGCAGTAACCAGGTCTGGATATGGCTGGTTCATTTAAACGCTGTTAAAAAAAAATCCCACTCAATTTATGCTTTGCACCCTTACAGTGCAAGCACAAAAGATGTCTGACCTTATTTAGGGCACCTATACTCCTGGAGGAGGCATCAGTGAAGAGTTTGCTGTGCAGAAGCATGACTCTGGCGATGAGGTAGAGGCGCAGGAACATGGGCACGCTCAGCACCATGTCCAGGTCAGCCTCGGCCTGCGAAGGCGTGTACGAGAAGGCCAACCGGGCCCGCCACTGAAATTTAAAGTCCCCAGGCACCGGATGCACGGCAGACACCAGCAGCTCCAGAGCAATCAGCAGAACCCGCTCCATCGTCATGGCGATGCGCCAGTCGTCCGCTCCGTTGTCTATGACAAACAACTGCGGGGACAAAAAGGACACGAGCGTCAGGTTAGTAAAAAACGCACATTGTTTAATACCTCGCTGTGGAAAACTCCATCATCTGCTGGCACAGTGCTTCCATCAGCACGACATACGATGATTACAGAACCAGCAGCAAATCGGAGTAAATGTCTTTCCTGCGATGTAAAACCAAATCCATTTAATCAGCAATTCACTCTCCTCTCAGTCATTTGGCTCGTGCTCAACTAACCTGCGAGGCTCGTCTTACAAAAATTAAAATCCGAGAAGCTGAGTCATTTGGAGCCCTGGCTCTCATGCAAAACAGGTTGTAATTATTAACATCACAATGTTTTACTTGCATATAGAAAAGGGATTATTATATTACTACTTCTGCTTTTCAGAAGAATAAAAGTAAGAATTATGAGTGAGTGAAGCGTTCAGGAGGAGAACTGACAGACCTCGCTTTATACAACTGAAAACATACTGTAGCTGAAACAACAATAAGAATAAACTTGTGATTACCATAAATGCAAAACAATGTTTTGAATTATTGAAAAGACCGTTTCCCACTCATACGCCTCAGAGTGCTTTGATCCGCTGCCTTCATTCCCCAAAACCAAAGTCAGGGGAAGTCTGTCAATTTCCAGTAAGCCGCTTGGGTGAAAATATTCAATAAAGTGAAATATTCTGTTTGCTTCATTTACCTCATCATGTACAGAATCCAGACCGAGGCTATTCATCTAAACTGCTCAGGAGGCCACAAGTTCTGGAAGCCAGCAGCTCATGGGCCGGACATCCAACAACTAAAATCATTATAATAATAATAATAATGTCATCACAATGTCAGCACTGTATGTTTCCATACAATGGCGAAATTAGTCTCTGCATTTAACCCATCCACCACCAGGCGGTGCGGTGGGCGGCTGTTGGGGGCGCCGGGGGCATTTTGGGGATGGGGTGTGCTGCCCAGAGACACCACGTGATATGCAGTGACTGGGGATCGAACCTGGGACTTTCGGGTCCCAAGCCGGCTGCTCTGCCTCTACACCATCTCGGCCCCCATAATAAACTCAAGTATTATAATGATCTGTTGCCTTTTAAATTTGCTTGTTTTATTGCAATGAATCATAAACACAATAAACAGAACCAAAAACCCAAACACAGAACCCCACCCCCCACAAAAAAATTAAAACAAATTATGAACTCATTCGTGATCCGGAATTGGCCCGCGGGCTGCCAGTTGAATAGCTCTAATCTAGATCAAGGGTGGGCCACATTTGTTTCCAGAGGTTCAAATCAAAATATTTAAAGCAGCCGAAGGGTTGAATAGAGAATTGGAACATACATGTTCTTTAAGACAGGAAATCTAGAAGACCTTTTCAGGCTTAATTTGGTTGTAGCATGGTTAGCATGTTTCATAAAAACATGTCTCCTCAATACTTTTTAGGAATATGAGACATACTTTTTGTAAACCGTCTCTTGTGAGAATATGTGTTGGCTTAAGTATGCCAAAAAAAAAAAAAAAAGTTTTATGTTTACTTTTGCGGTTTTTACGGTTCAGTCTAGTTCTGAGAAAAAAAAATAAATAAATAAATAAAAACCCGACTTGAAATAAAAGTCTTAGCCTATCAATCCAAAGTTTCTTATGGTTAATTTAGACTTCTTTAAGTTTAATTATTAAAATGCAGGTTTTCATCAACTTATTTAAAAGTTGTTTTCTTTTCAATTGAAGATATTGGGGGCCGGATGGATACTGTTCAAAGGCAGGGCCACTTTTGGCCCTCGGGTCACAAGTTGCCCACGTCTGGTCTGGACATACCTTGTCATGTTTAAAGCCATAATTCTTCATTTATGTTAAGCCAGACAGATGCACGATAAAATATGTTGGATCAAATTAAACATGTAGTGAAAACAATGATTTAAACAGAAAATGTGGACAAAAGTTCTACGAGGATTAATGACTTTCATTTAGCGTTAATGACTGGAGGTGTTTCGAATGATAAACACATTTATAGGGTAATGGATGTAGGCCAAGGAAATCTCATTGGTTACAACAATTCAACACTATCTAATATCTCAAGGACATCCTTATATTTGAGCTCATTTACTATCCGACTCTACTTAAAAGTGATAAGAACAAAATAACAGACACAAGGCTCAGGGTTGCTATTATTTTGACAACTAACGCCCTGAAGCTCTTCTAGTTGACAAATGTGTTAAAAGCATCTGAGAACACTTGATGAAACGCGACCAGGAGTCTTCAGTAAGATGTTGGAAAAACATGACTGACCCTGAACACTTTGGATACTTAAAGTAACGATGGCCTCCTTTAAAGTCTAACTCAGGACCATTTACCCTTTTTCTTGCTGCATACAAAAAGTTAGCTACACTTCAAAGTGTTTTTTTTAAACATCATTTAGGGGGTAAAGTCATAGTTCATAACAATATACAAATTTCTTCTGCTCATACCTACTGAAAAGATCCGGATACTTATGATAAGCTCAATAATCAATAATAATCAGATCAATAATGACTGAGTGAAGGTTCGGCCAGATTTAGGGTCATGAGGCGGTGTGGGGAACAAAGTTGATGCACTATTGGTACGCCTCGTAGATACGAACAGAGACAGTCACAGAACTGAGGTGGCAAATATGTCTGCACCTGCAACTCAACATTGGAAAAACTAAAGAGCTGCGGGTGGACTACAGGAAGAAGATTACCCCCACCCCTACAAGTACCTGGGGGTCCACTAGACTGGACAGCTAACACCACACTAACGCCCTCTACAAAAAAGGACTTTTTCTTCTGAGACAACTCAGGTCCATTAACACCAATATGTCACTGTTAACTTGGACAGGTATGTCCATTAGAGGTTGACCAACGTGAGGTTTATTTATGGACAACGCAAATTTATAGAAACTAAGGCAGCCGATGGGTGACATGCAACATCAATTTTTATAGTTGGGTGTTTTTTATTTAACCAAAAATACAATTTTCCTTAAGTTAAACATATTTAACAACCTTTAGAAGAGCATATACACTTAAACTTAATGTATAGTAGAGCATTCCTGCTTAAAAAACTAAACTGTGGACATCAGTAAACTGGTTGTAGACGTGGGAGTGGTGGCGCAGACGTTAGAAAGGCCGTCAGTTCAACTCCCCAAGCCAACAACATAAAAATGTGGGTGGGAATGGTGAAGCACCCACACCTGCCTCCATCCTCATTTGTCCCAATCTGGGTCCTTGAGCAAGGCCCTTAACCCCCACCATCTGCTCCCCCGGGCACCCTAGATGGCAGCTCTCTGCTCCACACAGAGCGCTGTGATAGCTCTGTGGTTGTGTCTGAAGGGCATCCAGCATAAAAACAAATCGCCAAGTCTTTGTGTAAGTTATTCTCTGTGGCGACCCCTGAAGAAGGAAGCAGTCAGAAGAAGACGACAAAGAACAAGAAGAACAAAAAGAAGAAGAACAAGAAGAAAGCTGGTTGTAGCAGCTGCTGCATTTTCAGTTTCCTCAGGAATTTATAGTCATGATCAATTTTTAAATATTCACTAATATCCTCTCCTTAACACAGTGCAGTTATCCTGTCCCATGTGCAGAAAAACACCCCAAAGCATGATGCTTCCACCCCCCATGCTTCACAGTAGGGATGGTGTTTTTGAGATGGTACTCATCGTTCATCATCCTCCAAACACGGCGAGTGGAATTAAGACCAAAAAGTTCTATTTTGGTCTCATGTGACCACATAACTTTCTCCCATGACTCCTCTGGATCATCCAAATGGTCATGGGCAAACGTAAGACGGGCCTGGACGTGTTCTGATTTAAGCAGGGGAACCTTCCGTGCCATGCATGATTTTAAACTATGATGTCTTAGTGTATTACCCACAGTAACCATGGAAACAGTGGTGCCAGCTCTCTTCAGGTCGTGGACCAGCTCCTCCCGTGTAGTTCTGGGCTGATTCCTCACCTTTCTTAGGATCACTGATACACCAAGTGGTGAGATCTTGCATGAAGCCCCAGTCTGAGGGCCACTGACAGTCATGTTTAGCTTCTTCCATTTTCTAATAATTGCTCCAACAGTGGATCTTTTTTCACCAAGCTGCTTGGCAATTGCCCCGTAGCCCTTTCCAGCCTTGTGGAGGTCTACAATATTGTCTCTGGTGTCTTTGGACAGCTCTTTGGTCTTAGCCATGTTAGTAGTTGGAGTCTTACTGACTGTGTGGGGTGGACAGGTGTTTTTATGCAGCTAACGACCTCAAACAGGTGCTTCTCATTTAGAATAATAAGTGGAGGTGGACTTTTTAGAGGCGGACTAACAGGTCTTTGAGGGCCAGAATTGTTGCTGATTGGCAGGTGTTCAAATACTTATTTGCAGCAGTAACACACAAATAAATCATTTAAAAAAATCATACATTGTGATTTCCGGATTTTTATTTTTTTTAGATTATGTGTCTCACAGTGGACATGCACCTAACATGAAGATTTCAGACCCCTCCATGAGTTTTAAGTGGGAGAACTTGAAAAAGTCGCAGAGTGTTCAAATATTTATTTTCTCACTGTATGTCCCTAAATCGGAACAAATCTTATAACTTACACTTCCCTATCATGAGCACATGCTGACGTGGAGTTGAGACCCCCTCTGTAAACCACTAAAAGGTAACAGAGCCGGCTTGTTTTGTTGATCAGGTGCAACCGAGGTGAGACGATGACTATTGTTTGAAACACGTAACTCTTGCCACTTATGAAAATAGGTTTCATGATGATGTTCCCAAGTAAAGGAGGGAAAAACAGGAGATAAAAAAGGTGGTGGGGGTGCGATTTCAAACTGTTCAGGAGCAGTGTTTGCCACACAGGAGACAAGGTAAAAAACAAAAAGTAGAGATGGTAACTGAATATAATTTTGGAAAATACCTGATATTTGATTTGAAACACTAAAACAATGATCAAACGTTAATTCACAAACATTTTATCTCAGTATGCTGATGATTCTGTTGAAAATGTCCCACATTTTTGTGT